TATATTATTTTAATTATGATTAAGTTGATCCTAATTCAATCACAGTTACACTACTAACTTAAAATTATTATTTCAATTAGTTTAAAGTTTTTAATAACTTTTAAGTAAATTGTACTTTTCATTTTTATGAATATAAAAAAATTACCATCATTATATTATATAAAAAAATTATTTAATTATTAGTAAAATATTATTTTTTTTAAAATTATTTTTCTTTAACTTTTTATATTGTTTAACTCTTATATAAAAGGGATTCTTATTCTAGTTTACTCTTAATTTTTAACCAAATCTAGCATGGACAATAACCAAGTAATTATTCAAGAATATTATTCTATTTATTATGTTTATCTAGTAGTAGAGTCAGAAATTTATACATGCCTAAATTTTATTTTTAAAATTATTTTCAATTTTATTTTTACTTTAAAATTAATTATCTTAATTTATAAAAAATATAAAATTATTTTTTTACATGCAAATGATTTATAGGACTCAAAAATTTTTTTAACAAAAACTAGGTCTTAAAATATTAAAATCAATATTAAAATATATTTTAAATATTATTTTGAGATATTTTATTGATTAAAAATAATAAAAATATGAAATATAAATATTTTAATTTTTTTTTAAAAAATAACTACATTAAAACACTTATATATATAGTATTTTGATATAAAATAATATAAAATTTAAAAAATTAATTAATATTTATCATATTTTATATATTTTTTAAAAAATTATTTTTTATTCGGGTATTCGGGCCAAATCCGAACCCGATCGGGCTTGGCCTGAATTTCCTCGAGCCTATTCGGGCGGCCCGAATAGGCCCGAGCAATAAAAAAATAATATTTTTTTGGGCTTAGTCCTAAATTTTTCGGGCGGGTTCGGGCTGGCCTGTCGGGCTCGACTCAAATTATCGGCTCTAGATATTTTGGTAAAACAGTGTAAAAATGCAGAATTGACAGCTCGGAAAAGTCAACAAGCAAGACCAATCTTGTTAAAAGATAAATGTTGCCACCTGCCACTCAAAGAATTAAGAGTGAAAATGACATTTTGGGAGAAAAAAAAGAAAATGACATTTTGGGAGAAAAGTGATCCGATTTAAAATAGAAAAAATTAATCATTTATTTTTTTACTCAAGCTGAATTTTAATTCATGATAACTGGTTACTTATAATTTTAACTTGATCATAATTTAATCTTTAAACCTTAATTTAATACAATTCAATTTTTTTTAATTTAAAATATTTAAATATTAGTCTTCATATTTTAAAAATAAAATTCTAAAAATTAAAATTATTTTAAAATTTAAAAAATAATATTTTAAATTACTAAAAATTATATTCTTTATAATTTTAATTTAAAAAAATTAATCTTTTAGTCCTTTAATGTTTAACACACATGTGACTTATTCCCCCAACTATAACTTGTTGTAACTCAATCCCTCAACTATGACTAAGTTTCTCAATTTTTGACTTGCTTATAATTCAGTTCAATAATTTTTGTAAATTTTTTTCATGTTAACTTAGATTCCATATCAAAGAGCAAAAGAAAGGTATTTTAAAGCACTATATGATCATTTCTTTTATTCCTCTTATTTGATAAGGATAATTTTTTAAAAAAATTTTAAAAATAAAAATTGAATTATAAGTGAGTCAAAAGTTAAAAAACTGAGTCACAGCAAGTCATAGTTGAGGGATCGAGTTACAAGTGAGTTAAAAGTTGAATGATTAAAATATTAATTTTCTTTTTTTATTTTCCAAAATATAGGGATTAATTTTTAATTCCTAAAATTATTGCAATTGAGTTGCACTGAGTTAAATTTTAAAAATTAAATTATGATCGAGCTAAAACTATAAGGACGATTATAATGAATCAATTGAGGGACAAATTATAAGAATCAAATGATGAATTTTCTCTTTAAAATATAACATTGACTTAGGGCTTGCTTAATTTGGATAACCTTAATAACAAATTTTAGAGGTCAAAATCATGATTTTGTAAAAATATATCTAAATATTCATGTTACATGTCAAAATTAATTATGAATCCAAAATCATGTTTTCCTTAAAAATATTCAAATATTCATTACACATGATAAAATTAATTATAAACCCAAAACTATAGTTTTCTTAAAAACATCCAAGCACTACTATATATTCCCTTCATTAAAAAATGTAAGGTATTTTTTAAGAAGTTGAATGTTAAAAAATATAATACATTTTTAGTCTTTTGAGGTGTAATCATTATTTTTTTAAAAAAAGTACCCCTATTAATAATGACTTTATATTTATTGTATGGTATTTAATAGGAGTAACTATAGAAATATAGAGTTAGTTTGAAAGTAAGTAACTATTTTATTGAGGGTGAGATTCGGTTAAAAATATTTTATATTTTTAAACAGAAGGAGTATATGTTAAAATCAATTGTCAACCGAAAAATGTACTAATTTGATTAGAAGCAAGTAATTTAAGTATAAGATTAAGCACCTTTGTTTTCTCCTTAATTAAAATAATATGAGTTCTTAACATAAAAATAAGGGAAAATTACATTCAAGTTATACTCAATACAATTAATGACTTTTAGGTCTATTAACAACTGAGCTTAGAAAAATGAAAGTACAAACTCAATTACTAATGAATTTGAAAGTAATTAATTTTATTGAATGGAACCTTAAAGTAATTCTCCCTAAAAGTAAATGAGAATATTGTTATACTTTTTGCTTGAATAAAATTAATATAAAAATAAAATTCAATGAGTTCGCGAAGTTTAATTTTTATCATTTTAGCCTTTTATATATTTTTTTAAAAAATTATTACATCTGTTCTTTAGGTTTTGAAATATAGATTGTCTCTCAAATTAATCAAATGTATAAAATATGTTAATGACTTAACATATATTTGTCTATTAACAACTGAGCTTAGGAAAATGAAAGTACAAACTCAATTACCAATGAACTTGAAAGTAATTAATTTTATTGAATGGGACCTTAAAGTAATTCTCTCTAAAAATAAATAAGAATATTGTTATACTTTTTGCCTGAATAAAATTAATATAAAAATAAAATTCAATGAGTTCGCAAAGTTTAATTTTTATCATTTTAGCCTTTTATATATTTTTTTAAAAAATTATTACATCTGTTCTTTAGGTTTTGAAATATAGATTGTCTCTCAAATTAATCAAATGTATAAAATATGTTAATGACTTAACATATATTTGTCTATTAACAACTGAGCTTAGGAAAATGAAAGTACAAACTCAATTACCAATGAACTTGAAAGTAATTAATTTTATTGAATGGGACCTTAAAGTAATTCTCTCTAAAAATAAATAAGAATATTGTTATACTTTTTGCCTGAATAAAATTAATATAAAAATAAAATTCAATGAGTTCGCAAAGTTTAATTTTTATCATTTTAGCCTTTTATATATTTTTTTAAAAAATTATTACATCTGTTCTTTAGGTTTTGAAATATAGATTGTCTCTCAAATTAATCAAATGTATAAAATATGTTAATGACTTAACATATATTTGTCTATTAACAACTGAGCTTAGAAAAATGAAAGTACAAACTCAATTACCAATAAACTTGAAAGTAATTAATTTTATTGAATGGGACCTTAAAGTAATTCTTCATAAAAATAAATGAGAATATTGTTATACTTTTTGCATGAATAAAATTAATATAAAAATAAAATTCAATGAGTTGGCGAAGTTTAATTTTTATTATTTTAGCCTTTTACATATTTTTTTAAAAAATTATTACATCTATTCTTTAGGTTTTGAAATATAGATTGTCTCTCAAATTAATCAAAAGTATAAAATATGTTAATGACTTGACATATATTTGTGATTAAATGATAACAAATTGACCATTAAATCGAATTAACATTTATCAATTTACTTCTTTATGTTACATTTGGTTCTGTTGTTTTTAAAAAATTGAGTATATTTTCTATTTTTTTCCTTTTTAAATAATTATATTAATTTTTATTAATTTACATGGCTTCCAACTAAATATTTTATTATTCACAATAACAAAATTTTAACAATATTAACTTTTCAGAATAATAAAGATCAAATTAATAATTAAAATAAACTGAAAATATTAAATTAATAAAAATTAAATTTAAAGTATCAAAGAGAAGTAAAAAACAAATGTAAGTTTCACTATCCCAAATAATTATACATAAAAATTCCAATTTCTAGTTGTACAAATATTTTCAAACATTCAAAAAATATACCGACAACTGTTAATAAAAACCAATCAAATCTTAAGCCTCCCTCCTCCTCTCTCCTCCTCCTAAAAGGAAAGAAAAACAAATCAATCAGAAAGTGGTTGAACGAATCTGCACCGTGAGTATCAACAAGGGACTACGTCGGTCCAAGAATGGCCACACTTTTTCTTGCTATAATACGATTCCAACGCTCCAATCAAACTTTTGTGGAAACTTACTATTCCTTTTACTTTTCGAAGAAGACGCGTGCATGATCCAGACACCACCGTCAACACTCAACACCAATTATAGAGTACGACATTTGAATTTTGATATTGATTTTTCACGCATGCTCTTGGACCATTAACATTAAATACGTTCATCTACCTTTGTGCCTTGTCATTAAACATTGATACCCATATTTGCTTTGTGATCTATCTCTAATTGCCAAAAGTAGTTACTCCCTCCCGTCCCTATTATATAGTAGTACCTTCTAAAAAAAATTCTTGGATTTACTTTGCAAGAATTTGTATAACATTAATTTCTTTATTCCAAATATGTTATTCTTTCTCAGCTTCTGATGAAGATAAAAAAAATATTATCAATCGCTTTTTTATGTCAAAAAAATTGTTCTTAAAATGCATGGTATTTATTAAGATGGAAATGAAGATCAAAGTAATTTTTAGACAATTTCAATGATACAACTAATTTTTGTCGGTTCTTGTGACTTACTTATAAGTAACTTAAAATAAGCAACGGATGGAGTATTTCCATAAGGCATAGTACTTAACTTATTGAACTCTGATTATTCATGCACTTCACAGAAGCCATTAAGACAATTACAGAGTTACTAGTTACTAAGAATTTTGGGAGACAATGTAACTTTACAAGGGAAGCAATATTAAAAAAAAAAAGAGAAAATTTTAGATCAGTTCTATAGTTGTAATGATTGCCTGTAAATTCTTCAGGAGAGATTCAAATTCCAGAAAACAAACAGATTGCAAAGAAAAGGGAAGAGTATCTAACCCTGAATGCTATTGATGGCTTGATGGTTTTTGTCTAAAATGAGAGAAACCATTACAAATCCTGATTTTCTGAGTTGCATGACCTCCTCTTTCTTAGCTTCGCAAATTTAGTACCCTACCCTACATGTCTCTCCTTCGAGCTGTACGAGAACTAAATCGTTATCTGTTTCAGGCCACGCCATTCTGGTTTGTGGGCAAATTTTCATTCTGCAGAACAAAGTGCTTTGAGCATCAAGCTTTTTCTAACTATACCTAACATTTTCAGGAGGGTCCTCTTAGAATTACTACCTACTTCACTGCCATGTACTTGTAGCTGACCTGTCATCTGTGCTCAAGAATCAAGTTGAGCATCCTTCATGATGAAAATCCACACAGATTACAGTCCTTTCACAGGAAATTAATCATCAAAAGGATGGTTGTGCAGATGGGTTTCTCACAAAAAATATCTGCCTGAGATTTTTCACTTCTGATGTGGACTCCAGAATTAATTAAAACCTCTACCTTTTTCAAAATATCCCCGATGACTCGTCTCCTTCTCTACAAAATTCCAACCGTAAGCTCAAATAAGAACAGTGTCATGGGAATATGCAGCAGACTATGAAATTTGACATCGTTCTTCTATCATAATCTCAAACAAGAAACAAGTGCACATACATATATACGCACATACCGCCGAGGGTACATCCAAATTATTCAGCAAGATCCCAAAAGGAGAAGACGTAGTCCCTCTGTACAAAATACAAGAAACTAGAGTTTAATTTGGTTCTTATCTTGAGGACAAGTTTTAAAGAAATCTGTTCAAAGAACTTCCTCCACGTAACGCAGATAACAAGAACATAATCTGCTCATCATTCCCATCAGATTCTACCTGATTCTGAAGCTCACGATACTTGGCCACAACATCATCTGGAAGAACTTGGTTCCTGCAAAGAGGGCAGGTAGCCCAATATTGCTGCAACCATTTGTCCAAGCAATCTCTGTGAAATGTGTGTTTACATTTCAAGTTCCTCACTTTTTCCCCTTCCTGGAATTCAGATAAGCACACCCTGCACTCTGCACCTTCTTGCCTCAATCTCTTGGTGAAACAAATTGTGGGGTTCTTCTGTTCGATGAGTTTGAGATATTGGGTGGTGGTGACCGGACGCGGATCTGACCTGAGCTTCTTTACGAGGAGCATGAGTTGTATCAGCAGCAGAGCCAACAGGACTACGGCCTTGGTGCAAAGTTGAGAGAAGATCTCAGAGAGAGCCATCGTGGCTTCTGGTAAGGAATTCCTAAAAGCAATATGATATTTTATAAGAAAACAGTCAGTGGTACTATAGGGCGTTCATCTTCCAAAATCTTTTCCATTGGAGGCATATATTAATGCCAGGAAATAGTGTCTATTAGCTATTACTCATATCAAGTCAAGAAGGTAAAGATGCAGGGAAATAGTGTTATCAGTTATTAATTAATGCAACAGAATATTGATGCCGCCTCTCCCATATCAAGTCAAGCAGGTAAAGAAGGACAATTCTTATATAGCCAGTTTTTTAAAATTGAGAATTCAAAGTTGGAAACTCACTAATGAATATTGGTAAATAGAAGAAAATCATAGAATTATGCAAAAAGATTTCACGATCCAGTTAACAAGACTAGAAGGTGGCCAAAAAGGAGAATGAAATAATATTATAATTATTAGTCAGTGACGGCTAGTATTTGAAAGCAGGGCGGCTGGCTGTTATACCAATTAAGAAACTAGTGATGTCTATTCAGTCAAAGAGGTAAGAAATGAATGGCTCGTTAGTTGGACCGGTAAAAATTAGGGCATGCACAATAGTTGATTTGAAATTTCCTTTTTATTGGGAGACATAATCAAAATTATTTTTCCACGCTGATGGAAACTGGCATGAGAAAATTCTCACAGACAAAGTCAAAGCATCTTCCTGTGAGGGAGGCCTCGAGGTTGCTTCCATCCACCTTCTACAAAGAAAACAAATCGCGGCAAGAAGGTTTGGTGAACTTATTTGACTCACCCATGTGAGCTGCCAAACGAGGAAACAAAATGGATTAAATACAAAATCATCAAATAAGTAAAAACTTCAATCTCAACTGTTTATAACAATGGCAACAAATCCAATTCTGCATTCCATTATTGAACAGCATGACATCAATGAATCCAGAATATGAATACCTAAACTAAATGGCTATCATTGAGTGTGAGTCTTACTGTTTATAATATCACAGAGCAGAAGAAACAAAGCATATCGTGAGTACGGAGCGATGCAGAATAGGAGATGCAGCAACTAGTTAATTCATCGAATCGAACAGATTATTGGTCCTCCGATAAATCAGAAGTGACTGGGAAAGAAACCCTCATAGTAGAAGAAGATTAAAAAATTCAAAAAATAAAATAAGTGGTGGCGCCGCCTCGCCGAATATACAGTTCATCTATCACAGGAAAATAAAAAACGATCCACGTTAGGCGTTCCAGGACCTTTCTAAATATATGAAAGGCCGAAGTTGGGCCGCGTAGGCCTAAGAGACCCATTTTAGGTTAGGACCGACATGTACATTTTTTTAGGCTGTTAAAAGTACTTTCTCCGTGTAAAATTTGAAAGACAATTTTTTTTTTGGAAATAACATGTTACACAAAATGTAAAATATTTTTTAAGATGTATTATCCCATCTAAAATATATAAGATATTTTTTATTCTTTAATGTGTTACTAATGATTTTTTTTTTAAAATATCTTTTAATAAAGAAACTATTCAATCGTTCAACTTTAAGTAAAATGCCTCATTAAATGAGAATAGATATAGAAAGAAGATATTTATTTAAAGACAAGTAATTAATTTATTGGAGATACAGTTCAATTAAAAAATTTTCATATTTTTTAATGAAAAGAATAATTAATAAGTTTTTTTTTAAATATCTTCAATTACAGTGTAATTAATAAGGTTTTTTAATTGAAATATCATATTAAATAAAAATAAATATAATATATAGTTTTAAATATCACTGACTGACTAATTAAAAGCTGTAAATTAGTGAAGTGTGCTTTATAATTTTGAGCAAAGGGATTGCTTTTTTTTTTTTAAGGTACTTGTAACAAGTAGTTTTGATTTAATTTAAGTTATAATTTATATTTGATTTCTAATTTAAATTTTTAAAAAATAACATAAATAATTTATTTGATGAGTTTTAAAAAATAATTTCTTTATATAAATATACTTCCTCCAGTGTTATTTTTAAATTATTTCTAACAACTTTATTAATAGCAATACAACAAAAGTATAAAGAATAAAATTTTATAAAATTACAAACATAACTATCAAAAAGTAAATAAATTATATAATATTATTTTTTGTTTCTCTCTCTCTTACTTTTTAAAGATAGTTTATATATTTTATTTAAAATAAAACATCATTAACAATACAATGACTTATAAAGTAGACCATTTTATTCTTTTAAAAGGTGACTTATAAAGTGGAACGAAGGGAGTATATAATAAAATTTAAACCGTTTATATATGACACAAAAACTGGTCACCACATCCCCATCTTTAAAAATAAAAATCTACAAAGACGTTTTGAAACCGCTCCGAAAATGATTGATGTTTTAGGAGTTAGGGCAAATCTCATTTTCAGAGTTGTTTTCTATGAGTAGGCTATACATTTTGAGAAAGTCCCTCTATTAAACACACCGAAGCTAGAGTTTTAAAAAAGATCAAACAATTAATCCCCCTGGCCAAGGGGAAATTTAAATCCACAACCTCTAGGTCACCAAAATTATTAATAGACACCAAGTTGCCAATATTTCTTTATCATATAATACACAAATATATATATATATATATATATATTGTCAACTTGATTCACTTTCCAAACCAATGCTTGCCATTTCATAAATACATACTTATTAAATTATTTACGTGGACTTACACTTGTTTTTATTGCCAAAAATTTTCTTGTCAAAAGTTTATGTAAACTTATTATTTTAGTAAAATTTGCTTGTTAAAATTAACTTTTTTAATGACATCGTGTTTAATACATCATTTTCATTGTATCCCATGAAATTCTAGAATATTAATGCTTTTAAGTGAATAGTTGAAAGGAAAAAAAAACCCTTTAACCCAAAAAAATTGAATTTAGCATCCTTTAATTTTTTATAAAAATCACATAGGGGGTTATATACACAGAGTTTTTAGATATATTATAATTTTCTTAAATGTATCTAATTTATATCTTCATAACCCATATTTTCAATTACCTCGTTAACTAGTTTTGAATGGTATTCATCAATCTTTAATTTACTTAATTAATTAAAGCATGAGAATTTTACATTTTGTTTATAAGAAAAATTTGAAATATATAGATTTGGTCCCCCAATCACAGGCCCTAGATCTGTCTTCATTAAAATTTTTTTAAATAAACCAAATTTATTATATAAAATAAAAAGATTAAAGTATAATGACATTGTTAGAGGCATAAGGTGAAAAGCTAAATTTCAAATCTTTTTTTTTTTTTTTGTATGAGGAATAGGTTTCACTGAAGAGAATATCTTTCCCGAGGTACTAATTAAGAGCAAACAATGATAGACTTTTCTCAACTAAATTATTACATGCACAAGAAAATAGTTCTCATTTAAACCCTGATATAATGATAGTGATCATTGTTTTTAAAACCGGACCGGACCGGCCGGTTCGATCGGTGAACCGGCCATGTGTCCGGTCCGGTTTTCTTTTTATTGTATTTTAAGTTAACCTGGGTTAATCCTGGGTGACCCGGGATTAACCCGAATTAACCCGCCCAACCCCTCGGTTCAGGCTGGTTGGGCGATTTGAAATTTAAAAAAAAAACTTGATAATGATTAACCAAGGTGCATATTTATTTTTGACATGATAATGATTAATGATAGGTCAATAGAAGTCATAGGGTAAAAAAATATACTTATGTCAGATGAGGGGACGGAAGAAGCAAAAAGAAATCAAAAAGTATAAATATATATTATATTATATTATTTTTTAATTTGAATTATTTAATTAAATAATTTTTAAAATATATCACTTTCATTTATTATCTTTTATTTTAAAATAAATTTTTATTTCTATTATTTTAACTCATTGAAATTTTTTTATCATTTAGTTAACCTTATTTTAAAAAAATATAGAAATGTTGTTATACTTTATTATTGTTAGAATTATTGTTATATGTTATATGAGGTATTAAGACTTGGATATATATGAACGTATTGAGAATTAATACATTTTTTATTTAAATTATATTATTTTATTATGACCGGTTTGACTCCGATTTGACCCCCGGTTGAACCCATAACCCCTGACTCCTGAGTTTGGCCGGTTCAATGACCGGTCCGGTTTTCAGTACCTTGATAGTGATGGAAGCAATTAAACGGGCAAGAAGTATGTTTAGCCACCACATCAATATTCCAGTAGTGATAAACCTGATCCTTCCTAATAAGCTTGTATGGAAACTTAACACTCAAATAAGTCCATAGTTAAGGCAGGAATCAATGCTCCATGTCTAGATACTAGCCAAGTTGTTGATAGCATGCCATTTTGTGTGCTGTTTGGATAGCACTTGGTTTCTTTACTCTAACAAGGTCTTGTATTGATAAGAGAAAACAATGACCATGTGAAACTCTAGGTAGGCCCACATGGATGTTACATTATTACTTGCTTTTTATAAGGAGAGAGAAACATACATAAAAGTTCGCATAAATTTCAATTGAGTATAATTGATTATAAAAATAATTAATTAATATAATTAATTTTTATTATAATTAATTATATTATAATACAATTTATTTGAATATTATTTTTTTAAAATTAATTTTAACATAACTGAAGATGTTTAAATGATCTGGTTAGAATCAATTTTAGTTGTATAAATTATCATAAAGTACGTTGCATTTTAAAATTAAATTATTAATAAAGTGACATCTAAATATTATTAAATTTGTTAACTTTTATTTAAAAAGTAAAATATATTATTTAACTTATATATCTAATTAATTTTAGAAATTTAAATTATATTAATATTAACAATTTAATATACGTAAATAAATAATTCAATATTAGATACAACGGTGTAATTGGCAAGTAAGGGAATTATGACAAATTATTTATTATTCTAACAATGTAATTGATTAACAAAAGGGGCAACTTAATTCAAAATGTGATTTAAGCCTCATTAATCGATTACCTGATATTGTGCTATTTGGGTAATTTATGCTCCAAAAACGTGGTTTAAGCCTCATCAATCGACTATGAAGGCAAACCAAACAGGCACTAAATCAACCTTGTCTTGTTGGTTTGATGGCCTAAAAATCTTTTTTCCTTTTTTGTCATTTTTATTTTTATTTTTATTTTTTTGCATCGGATTGGATTGAGTCAAATTGTTTTAGTGAGAAATTATCTCTCTCTCTCTCTCTCACACACACACACCAAGTTCAATAACACCATGATTTTAAAACGTGACCTGGTTAGTGAAATTAGTGAACTCGTCTCTTGGTCAGTTCGATCAAGAGATTCTAGACAAGTTGGTCAGGTTAGATTTTGGAATTTTTTTTTTCTCCCTTTGTTAAGCCTAAGATGACAAGGTTTTGACTTTTGAGTTTGAAAAACACAAGAAAAATTAGCAGTCCATCAAAATTGTGATTTAGTAATTTTGCTTTGTCGGATTATGTGTGGTTTTGTACACATGAATGTTCTATTTAATCTTAGACTAATGCCTTTTTATTTTAAATATTACTCTTTTCAAGATTATATATGTGTGAATATTTTTGTATGTTTTAATTGAATTCTATTATTTTAATCATGATTAAGTGGGTCTCAATTTAATCATGATTTGACTATTAACCATCGAACCATTATCAATTAATCCAATAGTCAGTCTAATTTTCATTACCTTAAATAATACCAACCATTGTTATCTCTTATTAATTTTCTAATTACTTGGCCCAATTTCACCGATGTTGAATGTGGCGAGTCAATGCATAACCCTAACTTCAAGCCACACCACAAAAGAGCAAAAGAGATGCGTGGTGATTCGATTGAATAGAAGTAATTTTATTTTATTTTTTGGAAAAAAATAAGGTTTCAAGTTTGAATCATATATATATATATATATATATATTACCTCGATAGAGTTACTTCCAACCATGCTAGCACTTGATCACTTAATTGATAGTATCAATATATATTAACAATTAACAATTAACAAATATATTAACAAATCTTATAGGAGGACTCTGATTGGTTAGCTCTCATTCAATCCCATTGGTTAATTTATTAGGGTCTTAATTCAATTCTCTTACGCACTCAGTTCACTTGTTCTTGCATCATTTCTTCTATCTTTCCTATTTTCATCAATCCTCCTATTTATTTCAACCATTTCTCTAGCTTCATTTATGCTATGTTCTATTCCCAATGGTTCTTCTA